TGCTCCTGGCAGCTGCTATAGGAATTAGCCTTTCCATTTAGAAATGATTGTCAGTAAATGTTTTTTTCAAAATATCGAAATGATGAACAAAGTCTATCATTTTTGATCACAGTTTTATGTTTACCTTTTCCCATATTTTGGTTAAATTAAAAACGCGTGTATTAGTGATCAGTAAGGCTATGCAGCAATCTGAATATGAAGGAGAAAAGGTGATTCAGATAACACAGAGTGCTCACGTAGCATCTGTTGGGGACACCTTACAAAAGTTGTGTCTTTTGCTAGAATGCAGGAAATGGTGACAGCTTACAGCTGTGAGATACATGACCACGCCCACTCCAACTCACACACACACACACACCCAGAGATTTTAACATTTCTAACAGTAAGCCTCATTTTATTTGCTAATATGTAATACAAACTGGTGTCTAAATATTACAAGTTATGACCTTATACAAATTGGACAACACATGAGCTTTATCATACATCAGTAATGAGATGCATCATAGTATGTATACATGCATCTATCGTATGACAATGCTTCATAGGCTGAATATGCGTACATGCTGATCCCAGGCAGACAAGTTCCTTCTATGCACTGGGTATATGTGCATTTAAATAAACTTGCATACTTTCCATATGAATTATAGACTAGATAAGTTTATATTTCTGCTTTTTATATTTCCTCAATCCAGTTTTCATCTAAAATTTGCTCTGTAGAAAACTTGGGCATCTTTACTCTACCTCCAGGTGAATCACATCTTTTACTGGTTGGAGACCCTGGTACTGGAAAATCTCAATTTCTGAAATATGCAGCAAAGATTACTCCACGATCTGTACTTACAGCAGGAATTGGATCTACAAGTGCAGGTAAATAATGATGCTCAAATGCAGGGACATCAACTTTTAGAAAATAGGTAAGAACCAAATTGCCCAAATTCCCCACCAGTACATAGGCCCTGCTGAAAATTTTGCACAGGCAATAGCACAAGTTTTCTGGCAATCTGTTTGATTGTCAACAACCGCAGTTGTCCCTATCATCACATTTCCTCCTGCTGTGGCTCATGTCCCTACCTGTGGTTCATAACTCCCCTCCTTTTACGGTCTCCCAGATGTTATTGCTAGACCTCCAAAATCCTTCCCTAGCTTCTTCCACTTTTGGAAGCCTAGATATTCCTGTGATCCAATATGTCATCTCTCATTCTATGGTTGGCTGAAAATGCTAAGATGGGGAAAGAGGCTGGTGCTGATGGCAGGCCAAAGTGCAGCTATAAGCAGTTTTTTCCCCATGCAGAAGAAAACTGCTCCTATTTGAAGTGTATTTGGGGAGTGTTATAACACACAAAGGAAGCTCCTTGAGTTATATTTGAATTGTAATGCATGCCCAGTACATCTAATCCAATAATGCATCTTTAAGTTGGCTTGGAACTAAGGAGTGATTCTATGAATAATCAGTATAGCTCTACTTGGTAACTCAGGAAGAGGACTTTCATTTCTAGGCGAGGGAGGGCAACCCAGGAATTCCAGCCTCTTTTTTGCAGTGCCTGCAATCTTCCAGTTCAGTAACCCTGAGTAACAGTGGTGCAATTTTTCTCTGATAAACTTATTCACGTGCTTAAAATATTTAAAAACCCAACATTCAAGAACAAAGGAAGAAACATATCAAAGCATCATCACCTGCCCTTTGTAGCTCCCAAGGGCAGAATAATGGTAGCATATACAAGACCAAGTTCTCCAGGGTAAAAATATTTCAGGCTGCAGAAATAAGGAGAGACTGGAAATATACTGCTGCTGAGAAAGAATTAGATTGCATGAAGTAGTGATTAGATTCATTATAAATCAATAGTTACACCTAGGAAGTGATGGCTCTTCCCAATGGATTTTACATGCATCATTAAATACCATGTCCTGTTCTGAAAATCCCTCCATACTCTTCCATTTGACAAGCAATCAAGGTTTTAGGAACTACATGCCTATAGCTGAGCTCCTTTTCCACTTACTTCATTTTCTTACATCCTCTGGATCAAACTCTACTATGCTTGGATGGGAAAGAAGCTGCAAAAAGAAACAAAAATCCAGGTGTCATTTGTCCAGAGAAAGTTCCCCCAACCAAGGTATCTTCCAGGTATGTGGACCAGCACCCAGTAATCCCCAACTGAAAAGCTGAGAGTTGGAGTCCACCTGTGTTGGGGATATTCAGGTTGGGGAAGGATGATCTAGGGATAATGGAGGTAAATTGTGAAATTTTTCTTGTGAAGGTTACTCCCGGTTAGAGTTTATAATAGCAAACATGTGAACAGAAGAAACTGCTGAGCCCTGCAGCGTTCTCCATTTAGAGAAATGGGTGTGGTCTTCATGTATTTAAACAGCAAAGAATGAGGATCAAATGAAATCCCATGCAGGAATTGTTGGTTGCCTAGCAGGCAAGGATCTTTGTATTCAAAACATAATGTTAAAGGATATGGACAGATATGTCAAGAGTCATGTGTGCCATTGCTAAGGCCCACTTGCATTAAAAGTGGTTCTCCCTTGGTGCCAAAAAGTAGGAAAGGAAGGAAGGGACAGTGTAATCTAGGATACATTTCAAAAGAAACATTGCTAAATTGTTTGAATCACAAATGTGTTGGGAGTGGGTCACACAAGTATTCTTCAGGCATAAATGCGCCCTAAAGATCACTAACATACCTTTAGTAGATGCTGTTATTTAAAAGGATAGAGAGGTGGCTAAGCCCATGAGGCTATCCAGGAATGCAAGCTTCTAGTTAAATAAGCACAGCAAAGAGACACCTGCAGAATAATAGCGTGTACAACTGTCAGAGCTGATGTTACCTGGACTTTGCTATCAGAGCCAAGGCTTCAGCCAGCATTATTAAATCAATAATTCTTAACAATCAGCTCAATAATTAGTCAGTTGACATAGTCCCTCCCTCTTCCTAGAGAACACTTTTCTTGATATTGTAGCTAACTACAATACTAACTCCTCTGATTCAGAGATCCTACAGAAACAATATTTAGCAGCCACTGAAAACGGCAATATTTGAACAGTGGCAACACAACTGTCATTAAGGGAGAATTTCAGTGGCAGATATTTTAAAAATGGGGTTATTTTACAGACAGGTCTCTGTTGCAGAGGTGCACAAGCTCTTTTAGGTCAAGAGCCATATCTGAATCTTAGGAAAAATGTTCAGAGCTACATATGGAGGAGATAAAAGGAAATTAATGTATATGTGCTCAAAATGCCCAATCGTATTCATGCCAGCATTTTCACCCCTTTAAAAATCATACTTAAATCCTCATTCTTATTTCCATCACCTTTAAAACAAAAATTCATTCTCTCTCCCCATCACCTTTAAAGTACCTTGCACCCCCTTCATGTATCGATTTTACTCTTACAAGCTGCTCACTGAATTCTGATAGTGGAAGGCAAAGCAAATGTTCTGCTCCTGGCAGCTGCTATAGGAATTAGCCAAGCAGGAAGTCATAACAAAAGCTGAACTACCATAGTAGCATGAAAAGAGGTTATATGGCACTACTCTTAGATATGAATAGCATCTAGGAAGTCACACTGATTGTATCCAAGCCTATGCTCTTTTCTAATCATACATTCTACTAACTATATGTAAATCTTTCGTAAATCTTTTTTTTTCACGTTGCTAAAAACGAGTAGTGAGATAACCTTCCATAGAAAATCTTGAGATGTATGGCAGACCCAATGATACATAATGAATTCTGAGCTTCAGATGCAACACATACATACCTAATTAAGGCAACCATTTTTTGTCTTAACTTTCTGTTGGCCTTACCACCTCTGAGAGTGTTCACCAAGAAAGCTTATAACATGCATTGCAGCCTGTTTCAGAATGACATAGACAGACCGACCTACCTATAGCTATACCTATTTCCAGATAATACACCTGAGTGTATTATTGATAGTGTTTCAAGAAAATTATTTCTGTTTCAAGACTGTTGATAAAAGCTAAAAAGGACAGTAAGTGAGCCCAGACCAGAGATCTGACCTTCTCCAGGCTCCTAGCACCCCTTCGGTAGAGATTACATGTGAGGCAGAATTTCAGGCCCTAATATTTACAGCAGTTTCTTCTATCTGAGGTGAAGGGAGCTCTTTCAAGGAACAGGACTATTCTAAGATTAGCCAAGAGAACCAGTTTGGTGTAGTGGTTAAGGCACCAAGCTAGAAACCGGGAGATCAAGAATTCTAGTCCTGCCGTAGACCCAAAGCCATCTGAGTGACCTTGGGCCCATCACTGACTCTCAGCCCTAGGAAGGAGGCAATGGCGAACCATTTCCCCTAAAAAAGAAAAAAGGCTTGCCAAGAAAACTGCAGTGACTGGTCCAGGTAGTTACCAGCAGTCAAAAACTCACCTGAAGGCACCAAA